GAACACAAGCAGGGGGAGTGCGAGAGGGAGAAGCAGGCTTCCGGCCGAGCAGGGAGCCCGCTGCGGGGCTTGATCCCAGGACCCTGGGATCATGACCTGAGCCGAAGGCAGACGCTCAACCGACCGAGCCACCCAGGCGCCCCTCTGCCACCTTTTCTGATGTTTCTCTGTGAACACAGGTGTTTCTCTACGTTGTTTCTCTGTGGAGCGACTGTTGTGAGGAGACTCTAACAGTTTAAATCATGGCGTGGTCTTCCACAGGGGAATAGTTACGTAAATCCCCATCCACCTTGCCTTGGGAATAGAGGTTTCTAACCAATTTCATGACACTTCACTTTATTCACAGGCTGGCATTATTAAAATGTGCTTTTTAGGGGCGCCTGGGTGGCTCAGTCGTTAAGTGCCTGCCTTCGGCTCAGGTCATGATCCCAGGGTCCTGGGATCGAGCCCCGCATCGATCTCCCTGCTCTGTGGGAAGCCTGCTTCTCCCTCTCCCACTCCCCCTGCTTGTGTTCCCTCTCTCACTGTGTCTCTCTCTGTCAAATGAATAAAATCTTTAAAAAAAAAAAATGTGCTTTTTAATGCTAGCTTTGAACATTAGCAAAACCTTTCCATTTATATTCATTTAATCCTGAAGCAAAGTAGTAAATGAGTATATTGCTAAATATCAAGGCACTGGGGGAAGAAGAGCTGGTAGGCTGATACGAGGAAGCCAGGTTTGTGGCTGGGACTATGTAAGTGGGACAAGCTCTTGGTAAAGATGAAATGTATTTTCTTAGAACCTCTTTTCTCTGGCTTCACATAGGATTTGAAGAACAAAAGAAATCCCCGGCTGGTGCCATACGTATTACTGGATGAGCGTACCAAGAAGTCCAATAGGGACAGCCTTCGGGAAGCTGTTCGCACATTTGTTGGTTACGGCTATAACATTGAGCCATCGGACCAAGAACTGGGTAATGAATTGAGATTGTTCATTCTGGTCCCGGTTGACTAAACCGGTCCTCTTCTGCAGAAATGCTGACTTCGAATAAGTCTAACATGTACTATTAGAAATGATATTGGTACCGAAGAGCACTAAACTAAATGGCGTATTTTAACAAGTGAGGGGAGGAGGGAGGAGAACCATGTTTAAACTCTGTGATGAGTTTCTATGGTGAGCGCTTCTGTGACCCAATCCTGTTGGGAATAAGTGATCCTACAGCTTAGCTGATCTTTTTGGGATATTTGGTCACAAAACCTTTATTTCTCTTATTTACCAAACACGTGAATACCAGCTTACTTTGGGGCCAGGCTGTCTCATCTCTAAATTGAATTCTAGCACTGATTAAAATCACCAGCCCATAATTGATGAACATGTCATGTCATCCCATACCTAAGAGTACTATAGGCAAATTAGGGTGTATTACAAGCGATTAAGGGGATAGATTTGGCGTAAGACAAATCTGGGTTCAAATCCTTACTCTCTGCTCAGCTTATGGGCTCTGTGATCTTGAAAAGTAAACCTTTCTGAGCCTCAATTTTTTTCATCTGTAAAGTGAAGACAGTATTACCAACCTCATAGGATTGTTGCTATGTATAGTTTCTAAAGGATCTACCACAAAGTAATCACTCAGTGAGTGTTAGCTTATATTCTGATTATGATATGATGATAATGGTGATTATTCTATTAGGAACAAAATGCCATGTTGGGTAGTGGTAGATCTGTCAGTCTTTGTTGTTGTGAAATTCTTTTGAGGAATGCTACCTAATTATTAAAGGCCTGTGTTCTCTCTTTACCTCCTGCACCCTCTGCTCCTCTCCTTCTCACAATAGCTGACCCAGCTGTGGAGAAAGTCAGCATAGACAAGATTCGATTTTTCCGGGTAGAGCGGTCTTATGCAGTGAGATCTGGAAAGTGGTATTTTGAGTTTGAGGTGGTGACCGGAGGAGACATGCGCGTTGGCTGGGCCAGGCCGGGCTGTCGGCCTGACATTGAGCTGGGCGCTGATGACCAAGCCTTTGTGTTCGAAGGCAGCAGGGTGAGTCTGGATACTGTCTGCATGTCCCCAGTCCAAGTTTCTCTGCTCCAAACATTTCCCTGGAAATTGGAAGTACTGAGTGTCTGGATCTCTGGCTTCAAAGTGAGTCACCACCACCACTGGCTAATTTAGATCATCGAGTGATCATGACCTAGCTATGGTCACTTTGCTGTTTGCTCTGATAAAGGAGAGGACTGTGTGCCCACATCCTTTCTGTAACCTCCATATCTGCCCTTGTACTTGAGCCCATTGCCTCCATTCCAGAGGAAGGTCAGAGAACACACTGCAGCTAGTATGTGCGGAAATCTTACCACTTTGTCCCAGAGTGAGTTCTGCTCGCTGTCATGGCCGGCTAGGTATTGGGAGACTCCGGCTACCTTTTCTGATGAGCCTATGTAACTCGGTTTCATTTGTTTGTGAGCTAGGTCATTCCTCCATGTGAGTTGTCCCTGGTAGAGGGATGAGTACCTTGTAGAAACCAGGTACCACTACCAGTTAGGAGAAATTGCTTGTGGAGTCATTTCTTCAGCTGAGTGGGGGTTTTTAGGACCTCCAGTCCTCTAAGCCCTGGGGTCTTGTTTCCTAGGGCCAGCGGTGGCATCAGGGCAGCGGGTATTTTGGACGTACATGGCAGCCAGGGGATGTGGTTGGCTGTATGATTAACCTGGATGATGCTTCGATGATCTTCACACTGAATGGGGAGCTGCTGATCACCAACAAAGGCTCTGAACTCGCCTTCGCTGATTACGAGATTGAGAACGGTAAATCTACCACCTTCCCCCACCCCCATTCCAGCTCTGTGAATTGAGGGAAAATCCAGGGAGAGCTGGGTGAGCTCATCTGCCTCCTGGAAACTCTGGTGGTGTACTATCATTTTTGAAGAGTCAAGACAAACAATGGTGATAGTTGGTATGTACAGCATAAATATAAGTTCTGAACTTCTAGATAGATTAAGACGCTCTCCTCGGGTTCCCTCCCTTCTGCGCCTTGGCCTGTTAAGGTTTCCCAGTATTACAAAGGAAATGCTAATTGCATATGGACTTAGGCCCTGGGAGAATAGAAAAGTCAGTGTCAGTCTGCATGTTTGTGTAATTGAACTTTATGCTTTGATGAGAACCATTGAGACATAAAAGTTCGACTTAGCTGTTCCCTTGAATGAAATATAATTTGTTTTGGAATTCAGACATGCTGTGAAACCCAAGCACAGTTGCACTCATTAATGGCCCTGAATAGACGGCAGTCAGGCCAGTGCCTCTAGCCACACAGAGCAGCCGTGAGCGTTTCTCATTTCCTGTCCGCATAACTACATTAGGTACAAACGTGGTTGGCCACGTATAGGAGAAGGAGCACTGCACTGTGAGTCAGCTGACTCACTCCTGACAGGCTGTGTGGCTCCTAGAGAGTCTTGGCTTGACCTCTCTGGGCTTCACTTCCTTCCTCTATACCAGAAAATTAGAGGATGGACCATATAAGTTCCGACATCCTTCTCAGATAGAAAGTTCCAGGGAGATGACTTAATACCCACTGTATGTATGCCCCTATGCTTGATGCTGGCCCTCTCTCTTCTTCATTATAGACGAGGACGAGGCGGAGTAGTTGAGAAGGCAAGAGGCCGCTCTGGGTCAGGTGACCTGGGCTCTCCCCCTGCCTCTACCCCTCTCCACCTGTGACATCTTGGGTTGACTTTGTTTAACCTCATCTCCCCCCTCTGTAAAGGATTAGGGCTCCTATTCGCTCTAAATTTCTGAAACTCTACAAAAACAAACCATTTTCACCTAGCAAGCTAAAAAAGATAAAACTACCTAAGCAAGAACAGCAGAAATATGTGTAATTGTATGTATAATAGCATAAATATCCTTTATTGACAGAATTTTTAACTTTATAAATCCTTTTCATGCTTTTTAGGGACACCTATTATCTGTACCTAACTGTACTCTAAGAGAACTTTTAAGGTTTTTCTACAAGCCACATATTTGGGGAAATAGAAAGGTTGCAAGTCAATGTCTTTTCCTAGAAAGACAAGACAACTGAAGCCAGATGGGGTCATATTTTCATGACTTCTGCAAAGAATCCTGGTCTCGGACACATGTGGGAAAGATGTTAACAGCAGAAAGAATGACTTCTGTGCCACTCAGAGGCACAGCAATTGAAATGTGTAGGACAGGAGGGCAGGATAGAAGAGCCCCCTTCTGACACTGTGCTTAGGAAACCACTATCTGCCAACTACCCACCACACACAGTGCTCTCATCTTGAGGCCAGAAGGAAGAACTAGAAGACTGAGGCTCATCCCCAAGGAAAGTAGCTCCCTAAGGAAAAAGAGTCCAAGGACCAGAGACCTTCTCCTGGCTCTACTGTGTACGATCCAAGGGAGGTTACTTACCTACAAGGCTTTGGCCCCACATAAGAAAGAGCTAAGAATCTTGTCTGTTGTGCAGAATTATGAGAACTCTGTAAAGTCTAAAGCCTTGCTCCTCAAAGTGTAGCCCATGTGTGAGAAATGCAGGATCTCAGGCCCCCATGCCAAACTGCTGACAACATACTCCAGTGGTTTGCACATTAAAGCATGAGAAACGGTGGTCCAAAGTATATATAAATGCAAGCCATAGCAATGCGAAGGGGCTCATTTTCTTGTTGTAAAAATAAATAACACACAAATATGAAAAGAGAACTCATAACACAATGTAGTATGTTAGAAATGGCAAATGAGGAATACAGAAAGGAAATTCTAGAAATACGGGCTTGGAACTAAATGTGAAATAAAGAATCTGAGAAGTCCACCCCTAAGAAGCAGAGTATTCCCTTCTGGGGGTATAACTACAGTTAGAATAACAGTGTATGAGTAGTGTGAGTAATAGTGTGGAATCGGGAAAAGGCAGGAAAGGGTGCAGGAGTCTGGAAGATTTATGCATGGAATTTATGGAAGACAAAGCTGTGAAGATAGAGAAGGTGCAGGTGACAGCCTCGAATACCAAGACTCAGTCTTTTCATTCAAGAAATTTGTGTTGTCTAACCTGGGCCAAGCGCCCTTGGACTTGACTCAGACGTGGGAGCTGTTGTAGGGTTTGAGCAGAATACTATAAAGAAGAGGGATGTTTTACAGTAACTCTGCTTTTCATTACAATCTGTGTTGTAATGAAAGAAATGCCTCCTAGACCTTTTGTGTATGGGGACATGATCTGACCTTCAGAATAGCAAAGTCTATTATTAGTGAGCTGTTTTATAATAGAATTGTACCATATTGTGTTAACATATTATGCTGTAATGTTGTACTGCAATTTAATAATACAAAGACAAGATAACTAGAAGGCTCTTTCTGTTCTGTGATGGCTCAGGAGTCTGCAGAAGGACAGTTGAAAGGAAGTCAGCATGCCATTCTTTGATAACAATAACCCAGAGGCCTGGAATAGCCCTCTAGCCACTCTCTGCTCTCTGCATAAGGTGGAAAGTGGCAGCAATTCTTGCCTTGAGCTGTTATGAAAAGCAGCTGTTGAAAATAAAGCATTTTGTGCACAGTAGCCCCCATAAAGCAGAATCCCGTCTAGGCTTATGTTCTGGTTGCCAGTAACCCAGCCTGGATTCAGGGCATTCCCCCAGTGGAAGTGATGCTGGTGGGAAGTTTCTAGTCCTTTGGGGGAAGGGGTGGGGACAGGCATTCCAAAGCATGACTGTTTTCCCCTGGGTTATTTCTAAATTGTTATCTCCATCCTCTTTAGCATCATAGTTGATACACGCTTATCTGCCTCATTAGGAGTGTCCTAATCATTGTTCCCTACTCGGATCCCTGGCCTGGACCATCACAGTTCTCTGTGTTGTCACCTCATAGCATCTGGAAGCTCAGAAGCTTCCCTGGTGAAACTTTTGCTATTAGTCTTCTTTTTTATTTAAGGAAAGGAAGATACATGGGGCACCTGGGTGGCTCAGTTGGTTAAGCGACTGCCTTTGGCTCAGGGCATGATCCTGGAGTCCTGGGATAGAGCCCCGCATCGGGCTCCCTGCTCAGCGGGGAGTCTGCCTCTCCCTCTGATATGCTCTCTCTCTCTCTCTCAAATAAATAAATAAAATATAAAAAAAGGAAAGGAAGATACAATTCTGAACGTCCTCTTAGGCGGAGCACGGCTTTCCTGCAGTCTCCCGGGCCTCCTCCCTGCCAGGCGCTCCCCGCTCCCCAGGGAGACAAAATGCTCCACTGCAGCTTTGCTCTCTGCAGGGCGGGGGGGCCTCCGGGCTGTTCCTCCCAGGGGCTCATCAGGGCTTTGCAGATCCCCCAGCTCTGCTGGCAGCTCTTCCGTAGGTGGCAGATGAAACATATCTGCAGGAGGTGTCACTGCCATTTGCAAGCAAACCACACGGGTCCCGAGGGTCCCCCGCCATTCTCACTCCAGGTGGGTGCTAAGGTGCCCAAAGCAGCTAGAGCCAGGCAGCACAGCCCCTCATTTCAGGTGCTGTCTACAAGGCTCCTGACGACCTCCGTCCTGCCCCTGAACTCCATCTTCCTGAGGCCTAGCGAGAAATGAAAATGAATGGGGAGAGCACGTGCTACTGGAGGGAGACTCTCAGAAACACCCGGGCAATGGCCTGGGCGCTCCTCTAACCACCATTCTCCAAGATCTCAGTTGTTCCTTTACCGGTAGTGAGCTGCTCTCATGTCTTTCCGCAGCTTGAAATGGATTCACAAAGGGTCCCTGGTTTAGATTTTCTAGGGAACAAGGTTTTTTTGTTTTTTTGTTTTTTTTTTCCCGAGCTCCTGAATTAACTGGCTCTCTCTCTTCCTAATCATAGAACTAGTCAAGGGGCCTTGTGAGACAAAATTTAGCAGAGCCTGGAGTCCTCTGCAGAATTTAAATGCCTGTGTTCTTGCCGTTCCTCTCCTGTGGAACGTGGCAGCACATCGTGGTTCAAGATAATGCCATTTTCTCCAGAAACCTCTTCAAAAATGTCAGTGTACTGGGCCGCCTGGGTGGTGCAGTCAGTTGAGCGTCTGACTCTTGGTTTTGGCTCAGGTTGTGATCTCAGTATCGTGGGATCAAGCCCCGCATCAAGCTCCATGCTGAGCATGGAGTCTGCTTGGGATTCTCTCTCTTTCTCCCTCTGCCCCTCCTGCTCCTTCTCTATCTCTCTCTCTCTCTTTCTCTCTCTCAAATAAATAAATGGATCTTTAAAAATAACGTCAGCGGGCGCCTGGGTGGCTCAGTTGGTTAAGCGACTGCCTTCGGCTCAGGTCATGATCCTGGAGTCCCGGGATCGAGTCCCGCATCAGGCTCCCTGCTCGGCAGGGAGTCTGCTTCTCCCTCTGACCCTCCTCCCTCTCATGCTCTCTGTCTCTCATTCTCTCTCTCTCAAATAAATAAATAAATAGATAAATCTTTAAAAAAAAAAAATAACGTCAGCATATGGCACCTATTAAGCTGCATATAGGGAGGGGTATTTCTTTTCCCCTTTGGTTTCTGTCCTCTTTTCCAGTTTCATTTGAAGCTAAGGGTTAACTGAGTTGTGTGCAAAGTGCAAACCCTTGTTTATGAGAGTCATTGCTCACTCTGATGCCATGTGGCCTTACCAAATGATCTTTTTATCCAGATTTACTCCAGGAAGCTATGTGGCCACTTGAGAAGTAGCCCTTTTCATCTAAGCGGCCGTCAGTGCTTTGTGGTTGTGGGTCTCCAGCTGCTTTATCTGGAGGCAAACTGGTCAATGACATAACACTTAGGGAAAGTGAAGAAAAGGTCACAAAGCAAGTCACTGTAGGTAAGAATTAGAAAGCAGGCATCCTAGACTTAGTCCCCATTGCTTGCTCTGGACTGCTTCTCTGGCAGCCTTTTTCACATTCTGGCTCTACATGTTTACCAGGTGACAGACCTTGAGCAAGTTATCCAGCTTGCTAAGCCTCAGTTTCCTATTCTGTAAAATGGGCATAATCATGAGCTAAATCTACAAAGCACTAAGCCCAGTGCCCAACGCCTAGAAAGTACTTGATAAATGTTAGCTGTTGTGGTTTATCATCATTGTACCCCCCCACCCCACCCTTATCTATCAGGCAGAGTCAGAAAGTTACATGAAATTTTAATGCCTCAAGAAAAAAACTTTTAGAAATGGAAAGATCATAAGCTAGATCCTCTCAGCCAGGTGGAGTGAGCTGATTCAATGTATCTAGTTACCAAGTATTCTTCCCCGGGAGAAAGTACTAACACCTTATGAGGATTTATCTTTGCTCTTGGTCCTTTCTTGGTTTTCTCTTTTCTGATCCAGGCTTTGGATTAAGCTTCTTTTCAGCTGTTTTACAGAGCTGTCCCAGCTGTGCCCGCCCAGTCCCAGGCGGTGTCGGACAGTCTTTCCTCCACAGCTATCCCATCTGTAACTGGTGCAGCCCTGCCTTCTCTCAGGCTCTGTTCTGCTCTCCCCTGCAGCTGTCCTGTAGGGATAGCACTTGACTCTGTAATGAGTGCAATCCTCTGTCCCAGGACCTGACTGCTATTTAAACCTAGGGCATTCATCCCCTGGAACATTCACCCCTTCTCTTGCACACTGACTGGCAGCTGGGTCTATGAGTCAGAGTACGTGGGATCTTGTCGCATTTTGCTGCTTGCCTTTCTCATGACCTTGGTCAGGTCCATTAGCTCCTCAAGTCTTCAATTCTGTCCTCAATGAAGTGCTGTCCACTTTGCTGGTAGCTTAGGAATGAAGAGGAGCCCAAGTCCCTTAGAAAAAAGGCTTCCCACACATATCACCTGTTTTCCTTCTGCATGTGTCTTACATCACCATGGGGGCTGTGACTAGGGAGTTTTTGGTGTGACTTGAGTTATTCAGAAGTTCTCATCCTGGCTTCTTCCCACTCGGGCTTTTGTGCCTACTGCTCCTGCATTCCACCACCCAAGTCAGTAGAGAAGAAGAAAGGAGAAGACCGATGCTCTTAAGAGGTCCTTTCTCTGCTCACATCAGGGTGACACTGCTTTGTGATCCTGGCTCCAAGTTACGGATACTATGGTGGCAGTGTTCTGGGTTGTGTTAGCCCCTTTAGCAGAAGCCAAAATGCGGTCTTGGGAGTAGCGATGCTTTACAGCAGAACATTCACTCCTCACTATTCCGTTTTTGTCCCTGTTTGTAGAAGTGCCTTGGGATCAGGATAGTTTCCTTCCTTTACATCTTCTCATAGTGCATTGCAGAGCCCTCTGTCCCAGTGGGGACCCAAGAAATGTTGCTAACCAGCAATGCTCATTCCACACCAGAATCAGATTTCCAAGGGTCCCTTATAAAAACTCCCTGCAGAAAGGAGATCCTTTCCTCTATCACAGTCTCTGGCACAAAACTGCCAGAAGCCCAGCACCGCTCTGGAGGTTGCCTGAAGGGGTGCTTATCTGAGCTGTGCATCTACCTGCCGGAGGGCCAGGCCACCCCCTACTCTCAGTCCTCGGTGTCCCTGAGCGGAGGCTCTCTGTATAAACATCACCCTCATTGTGCTAGCATTGCATTCAAGCTCTCTTATTTGAAATGATACCAATTGGTATCAAATAGTGTCCTAAATGAGTTTGACAGTTTCTGGAAGCAACCAATTTAGCTTGCGAGTGATTTACTTCTCACTTCTGTGCTTCATCTACATAGATACTCTGTGGCTCGGGTAATGGTATATCAGCACTATCTCTAGGAAGAGTGGATTTTGCCCTTGGTTTCTACGGACAAAAGAGCTTGCTGTTGAATGTAAATTCTCCCGAAGGTAGCCTTTAAATTTCCCCTTAAATAAACACTCCCGTCTTAGGAGTGACACCAGTTGATTTTGTGGGGTCTCCAGCCCCTGCTTAAGCCACTGGCCTCAGAGCCCTTCCTCTCCTTTCAAATGCTCTCGCAACGCCTGCCTCCCACACCCACCCGGGGTGATTAATGCTTGCCCAGCTCTGCTGATGTGTCGGTCCACAATTATAATTTGTAAATATCCTGCAAACAGTTTGAACTTCTGCTCTGGAATATTCTGCCTGGCAGGTTATTAATATGACGAGATGCAGGCGTAAGCTTGGAAAGAGACCCTAAGTGCAGGAGGGGAGGGAGGAACTGCCCACAGCTCTTGCTGGGAAATCTCACGTCCTGCTTGGGGGGTGGGGGCGCAATGCAGGCTCGGGGCCTGGCAGTTTGTAAACAGTATTTTGTAAAGCCCCAGAGTCAGCGTTCAGAATCAGACTCAAAACAGGAAGAACCCTGAGACCACCCATTTCACTGGGGAAGAGGCTGAGACAGGCTGTTTGTACCAAGTCCTTCTTTAGGCTCTTTGGGTTGTTTTGTTCTTGGCAGTGTTTAAAATTTCCCAGGGCCTAATGTCAGTTTTAACAAAAACAGAGATAAAGAATTTTACTTATCCTCTTACTGGTTTTTACTCTTCTAGCTGATATGTATTTACACCCGGAGAATAATCTCAGTTGGATGGTTGTTTCTCCCCCAAATCATGTTGAACCAAAGTCAGTTCTCTTCCCCAGACACCAATGGCAGCCATAGACTCCATGTGACCTCCTGTTGAGTCTGGGTGCCAGCCAAAGGATGGTGTCCCATCTTTCCTCCTGGACTCAGAGCTGTGAAGAAAGCCAAGGTCTGACGTGCTCACAGCTTCCTGCAATGGTCCTGTAGGCTGAAGCAGGCTCTCTTGCACCATTCTGCAGGCTTTGTGCCCATCTGCTCTCTCGGACTGTCTCAGATCGGCCGCATGAATCTCGGGATGGATGCCAGTACCTTCAAGTTTTATACCATGTGCGGCCTCCAAGAGGGCTTTGAGCCTTTTGCTGTCAACATGAACCGCGACATGGCGATGTGGTTCAGCAAGCGCCTCCCAACGTTTGTCAACGTGCCAAAGGATCATCCCCATATAGAGGTAAGGTTACACATCGTGGGTGGCCCTGGCAGGGCAGGTGGGCCAAGGCACTAAGCTCCTGCTAATGATCCTGTCAACAGGCAGCTGCTTATCTAGTCCATGCCTGGGCTGCCTCCCAGCTGCCACTCCGCTGACCCTCAGAGCCGTAATCGTGGGCATGTTTATTGGGGCAGCTCAAGGGCATCTTGCAAATGGCATCCACCGTGCAGAGACATTCTTGTAGATCAGTCCCCGGGCCTTTGGGCCACTGTGTTTCCTCCAGATGTTTCTGTACTGCTATGGCCATATGTATCCCAACACCTTAAATGTTGTTTTCCTGAAAAAATTCAGTACCTCTACTCAAGATGGTATGTCCCAGACCTAGTTCTAAGCTCATAATATGGTGTCTTTTCAGTCCTATATATTTCTGTAGAATTACTTCCAGCATTTTAAGCTGACACGTAGCCGTTGATTATGATACCCTCATCTTGTAGGAGGGAGCTCAGAGGAGCCAGAAATTGTAAGGGGCCTGATATGGGTGCTGGTTCTCCATCTGCTTGCCCCTGTTTGCCAGCGCCCACCATGGTTTGATTCATGGGAGGGTCAGGGGGTGGGGAAGGGGGCTAATGGAAAGTCAGACAGATCAGCAACCTTGAAGCATGAGACGCAGTGGCTTGCTTCCACCTGACAGTAAGTTCCCTTAACTCACCTTCCAGTGCATATCCAACAAGCACCAACTCTTAATCCTTTCCTTTTCCCCACAGTCTTAAATAGTAGAGACTTTTATATATGATTCTTACCTGATCAGCACCTTTTTTTTTAAGATTTTATTTATTTGACAGAGAGAGACACAGCAAGAGAGGGAACACAAGCAGGGGGAGTGGGAGAGGGAGAAGCAGGCTTCCCGCTGAGCAGGGAGCCCGATGCGGGGCTCTATCCCAGGACCCTGGGACCATGACCCGAGCCGAAGGCAGATGCTTAACCGACTGAGCCATCCAGGCACCCCTGATCAGCACTTTAGAAAGCTGGCTCATAAACTTTTAGAGGTCAGGAACCCCTTTGACAAACTGATGGAATCCGGAGACCCTGTTAGAAAAATAGACACACCACACAAAAATAGGTAAGCACACTCAGAGACCCCAGGATAGGAACTGTTCTCTAGAACGTAGGGGGATACTTAGACCATAAGAAAATTATTATTAGTATAAGTCTTACTTTACTTCCTCTGCCCCCGCCCCCACCACACACACACACACACACACACACACGTTTAAAAAACCCAGTTTTGCTCTTTCCTCCTCCAGCCCCATCCCTTGCAGTGCTATGTGCAGGCACTGGGAATTTCCCTGGTATTCAGAGGTCCCTCAACCCTCAGGCTGTGATTGTGGTGGGGCTGGGAAATGTGCCAGGTGGGAGATGACCCCTCCAAGGGAGCCATGATGTCTCTCCTGGAGCTTTAGGCTTTCTGCTGTCTTTTTCCTTAAATAGTCTCTTGCCCACTGACAGGGGAAATCTTTGGAAACATTTTCTCCTTTAGCCACTTGCCCCCGACCTGAAAGGTTATCTTCAGCAGATGCTGTGCTGCATCATCCAGATACCACCCATTCTGTTACACCCGTTCTCCATCCTTGATCTTGCAGAAAACCTAGTGGGCGTGCTCTGAAATCTCTAATTTCTCCAGCCAGAGGCAGATCTGTTATTTTCTGTGGAGCAGGATCCAAGTAACAGTGAGAGTAACGGTTTGGTTATCACTGGTGACAACTTTTATAGTTCACAGAAAGCCATGACATATGGAATAGCAATGAGGGAAGGAGGGACAAGGTCGAGATCAGGCCCTCGGGTGTGTCAGGTAAGGATCCACGGTGTTTCCAGGTTGTGAGGATCGATGGCACCATGGACAGCCCTCCATGCCTCAAGGTGACCCACAAGACGTTCGGCACACAGAACAGCGATGCCAACATGATCTACTGCCGCTTGAGCATGCCCGTCGAGTGCCACTCCTCCTTCAGCCACAGCCCCTGTCTGGACAGTGACGCTTTCCAGAAAAGGTGAGGGCGAGGCCCCCCGCTCTCAGACATGCTCCTCATGTGTGCCCTGAAGTTCACTTTCCGTCTCTCTGTTTCTTACTCTGCCTGAGCACAGGTGGGTAGGGCTCCCTCTGCTTTCAGTCAGGTAAAGAAACCAGAATGTGTGTGTACACAAGTGTGTGCATACACATGCATGTGGGTGTTGGTGCAATGCGTAATCAGGGGGCCAGTCAAGCCAAACAGGGTCACGTCTAGTGGAAACGTTTCTGCTCTTCTTGAGCCCTCTAAGTCCTTAGCCTCCTTGCAGCCTACGTATCCGGTGTTTCTGGAGTAAAAGGAATATAAGTGCATGAGAGGGTGCAATTGTTGTTACCTTTGTGTGAAATTAAAAGCCTCTAGAGGCAAATCGTGCCTTCTTTATATAACTATGGCTAGGGTCCAACCCTGCAGCTGTGTAACTTATGAGTGACTAGGACTTCTTCCTTTCCTGATAGGGAATACGTTCCTTGCTGTCTTTCTTTCCTTTAATGTCTATTTCTAATCATTGGTGTATGTCTGCCCCTCTGGAGCTCTCGTGTCCGGGTTTCCTCTAGACTTTCACTCTCTATGTGGCTTTTAACAAGTACAGCTGCTTGAAAGAACAGGACAGGGTATTCAGAGGTATCCCTGCCTACATTATTTCAATCTTCCCTACCTCCCCCTAGCTCTGACTTACCAGCTGGGCTGAGAGACAGGGGATGGGAGTCACAGCCTTGGCATGTGGTGGCAGATTACAAATGCCCACGTCCCAAGACCAATTGGGGCCGCTCATGTATAGGAAATACTTTTCTAAACTTGCCGTCATCATTAAAGGTAGATCAATTGCCTGTCAGAGTTGTGGAATTCTCTATACAGCCGAATAACTAAAACATGGATTATCTTCCCCCTCGCCAAACCCTGCCCCAGGAAACAGATGCAAGAAATACTCTCTCATACAACAACAGTAAGTAAATGTGCTCAATTACGGTTTTAATTATTTGATTCTTTGTTGTGCCTGGTAATATGCCCCTTACAGCAAAGATCTGTCTAGAGATCCTATTTAATTGCCAATTACTGTGTCTTTTACTATCCATTTTGATGCTTCCAGAACACATCTCCGACATTTCTCAAATGGGGAAAAGAAAGACAGTTACTCAGTACAAAGCAGAAGCTCCACCTGGAGCTCCTAATTGGGCACCATTGTGTGCTTGTGCCCATTGGCCACCAGGGACCAGCGCTGCGTTTCTGACTGAAATGAACAGCGGGGGGGCGGGGGAGGCTCTTTCATTTAATCCTTTTGTTTGTTCTTTTATGTAAACTTCTATGAATCAACTCTCCCATCTCTCTGAGCAGTGCCAGGAATAATGTTGAAAACAATCAAGTGAGAAGAAGGAGCAGGGAAGAGTCCAGATGATGGAAGCTGATTTTGGTCCCTTTTCTGTAGCTAGACAATTGTCAGAAAGCAACGCTTGCTAATTTCTTTTTCTCTCATCCTTCTTGAGCACATGACCAAAAAAAATGTCTTTGGAAGAAATGTCACCCCTTCTGTAAAGTTATCCTGCAGTTCCGAGGTGGTGGGTTAACCATGATCAGGAATAACATTGTTGCTACAGCAGGTCACACACTTACTGTGTGCAGGGCATCCCCTTCCCACCGCACTCCCACAGCAGCCCCACGAGATGGACAGTATGATACACTCTGAAACACAGGACAAGTGACCTGCCCAAGGTCACCCAGTTAATAGCTGCCAGTGGCAAAATTCAAGCCCCAGTTTGTCCAGCTGATCCTTTTATCTCTTAATCAACAAAATACAACAGACTATGCATAAAAGTAACTTCACTGAGAATAGATGTGCTCGATTTCATAAAGAAAACGATGAAGCTTACGTCAGTGCTTTAGCTGTGAGCTTAGCATAGTGGGACACTGCACAGATGGTAACCATGCCCACTGAGAACTACTCTAGTTCTCAACACAGCCTGTCCTCGAGCCCAGTGGCCACACGCAGCACCTTTGGCCACGATGTGGGCTTTTTCTTTTGCAGCGTCTTTTTCACGACTTTCAAAACAACAACAAACACTTGGCACTTCCCTGTAGAAGGGGAAAGTGTAGCAGAAGTCCCCCTGTCCTGTCTCTGAGGGCAAGGGCCATGCCCAGGAGAGGGTGAGGGGTCTGTGCTGGCCATTCTAAACGGCAGCGCCCTGACTTCATCAGTAGTATCTCTGGGCAAAGGCTAGTAGATTAAGTACTCCATTGTCTCCGTGCTAAAGCACCACAGAAAAGGGAAGAATAAGGAAGCCAGATTCTCTAGTCAGCCCATCCTAAGTCTAGAGGGCAGCACAGTTCAGCTCTAGAGCAGTGTGTGCTTTTTGAGAAAAGAGGGCCAAGTGGGCTCCTTATTGGGTCTGTCAGGTCTGGCCCCCCCAAGCTGGGGGCCACTCACTCCCCTCTGTGGTCTCTCCCCAGCAGTGTTACTACGCAATCCGCATCTTTGCCGGACAGGACCCCTCCTGCGTCTGGGTCGGATGGGTGACACCAGACTATCACTTATACAGTGAGAAGTTTGACCTGAATAAAAACTGTACAGTGACTGTTACCCTAGGGGATGAAAGAGGCCGGGTCCACGAAAGGTAAGGGGGCTCCCAAGGGGTGGGGTCAGCCACCAGGCTCCTCACTTCCCCTCACCCCCCAGCTGTCTTTTTTCCCCTTCCGCCCAATGCCCCAAAAGAAAGAAACATCCCAGTGTCTATGAAAAAGGAAAAGTGAGGCACAGGTTTAAAAATCCTTCACCAAACAGGGAGTACTAATGGCAGAAGTGTTATTAGTGAAAATTGAGGGTAATTCCATCACATGTATAAGACATGGCCCAGGGATGGGAGATGCAGATGGACAATTGGGACTCTGCTCCCTCTCAGACACTTCTCTGTGGGTTCTGGGTAAGCCTCAGTTTCAACAACATCAAAGCAAGACAGAAAAATCCCTGGGTGCCTGAAAGAAATTGATTCAGAAGAAATAAAAAGATGCACCACATCACATAGCAACTGATCGACTCTGAACTCCCCATTCTAAGGATGTAAGGTATCTGAAAGCATAAAGAACGTAAAAGAGAGACAGTAGACTCATGAACAATAACCACTGATAGAAATTAGGGATCTTTTGGGAAAGCATGTTTTAAGTATACCCATGCCTTCCCCCGGTCCGCTGAGTCGGGAAGGGTGGGGTGTGGGGATTGTCATCAGAGAGAGAATCTCTAGCCAGTGGTGCCCCAAAGGTGACCCAGGAGACCAGGCCTTGTGTCCACCTATGGGATACTTAATAGGGTCTTTCCCAAATGGACATGTTTGGAGGTGTAATAAGTTGTCTCTCAAGCTGACTTTTATCCCTCCAAAGTCAGGAACATTTTGCAGCCATTGTTACTTCAGTGCTCCTGGCTCATCAAAGACTGGCGTCCAGAGAGGTCACTGAGCATCACTGTGTCATGCAGGACCGCTGTGGACAGGTGGCTAAGACCAGACCCTGGAAGAAAACTGCCTGGGTTTTAAACTGGGTTCAGAACTTACTAGAGGTGGGACTTTGGAACACCTAGCCTTCCTGGGCCTCAGTTTACTCATCTATAAAATGAGGATGATAGTTCCAGTCTCATAGGTTAAATGAGATATTACACAGAAAAATGCCTGAAACAATGCCTTGACCCAAGCACTGAATAAACATTACTCTTATTACCACTACTGAATGTCTATCCTATTGCAAGACCCAGAATAGATGCTATAAACAACATCCAGTGTCTTGTTGGGTTGGAAAGGAAGCATGCGAAAGCAGTCGGAAGTCTTTGCTCTTTAGCCAGAAGAACCAAAGGCAGCCGTGTCCATCCCAGCTGGGTTTACTGCTCGAGTTTCCCGGCTCTGCCACACCAGACAGATGACTTGATTTATCTCAGCCTCAGTGATCACATTTATTTTGAAAATGGACAGGCATCTAGAACAAGACCCAGGAGGTAGTAGATACGCAGTAATTCTTAGTTCTTTGTCTCACATAATAAGAAGTAAATACAGGATTGATTTTCAGATGTTTGGAGGCATTTCAAATTTGGGTCCTTTAAAATATGACCAAAGTGTGACATTTCCCATTCCCACAGCTTCGAGACATTAGGAATTGAATTCTACAGTAGGCATCAATGGACTTAGTACTCTCATCACTGAAAGGCAGGAATAGCATGGCTACAGTTTAACCTTTATGGAAATCTAGCAATGGCTGTCACTCTTTGGAAGGGACGTTTTGCACCAGCCCTGCCTGAGGAGCATTCACACTGAGAAACCAGCCCAACTGGTGCCCCAAAGGAGAGAGGGTAGGAGAGGGGGTGAACAGATGCTTACAAAGGTAATTTCCAGTCTCAGGGGGAAATTATATGCTTCTAGAGCTGGAAAGAACCTTGGAGAATTCTAATCAAACCTTTAACTTTCCACGGTCAAATCCAATTGACCTTAGGATATTGAAAGGGGTATTAGAGCATCAGGTATAGAGTCACTCTCTTGTGTAGCCTGAGAAAAAGCACTTTTATGGCACTTCAAACAACTGGTTCCTCAAGTGGTGTGCACCACGACTGGGCTTGGGAGGAAACCAGATTGTCTGTCTCTTGCGCACAGTCATGGTGGCGGGCTCTGAGAATCACTCCTGCCACTGTGCCACTTCTCCAAAGCCCACACAGGATTTTCAGTCTTTCAGTTGAGGAATCAGGCTTTGGAGACTCAGTGGCTTTTTGGCTATTACTCTTGGCTTTTAAATATAAATGCCTATAATGGAGTTTATGCTATGGGGGGAGGTAGACAGCCAGCTGAGAAATGCACCCAAGTTGGTAGTTATTGAAGAGTACAGGGAGCAGAACTGGGCGGAGGGGAGCGGGGGAGCCAGGTTGTGTAGGTCAAGGACGTAGTTGGGCCTTAGAGACCACTTGTGACGCTCTTTGCAAGTGTTCCCAAGCCTGCCATCCTGAGGATGTGGGCCTGAGTTTTCAAGTATCTTACAGCCTTTCTCCCTGACACTGCGGATTTTTGTTCCTGCCTTTTATACCAGATCCCTGTATAAAACGGCCTATGGCGGGTGCCCTCTCTGTACCTCCATCTCCCGTCTCTGAGGTGGGAGTACTACCATCCCTATGATCTCTTTCAAAGAGGGGAATTGACATTGAGCCAGGAGACAGTTACCTGAAAAGTATGTTCTTTGGACCAAAGTATCTTAATAGATTGCCACATCCCTAAATTGAGTGGTCATGACTGAGAAAATTCGGTTGAAGCTGAATGAATGTATTTAAGAAAAAAGTTACTGGGGGCTGACTGGAAAGCTTCATTGGCAGGTTTCTAGGGCATTTAATTTCTGAGCCTTGACTGCACACCATCCCAGTCCAGATTCTGTGCCTTTTCCTCTCTTTGACTTCTAGTGTGAAACGCAGTAACTGCTACATGGTGTGGGGTGGGGATATTGTGGCCACTTCCCAAAGATCAAGTCGGAGCAACGTGGACCTGGAAATCGGCTGCCTCGTGGATCTGGCGATGGGCATGTTGTCTTTCTCCGCCAATGGGCGAGAACTCGGCACATGTTACCAGGTAAGGGTGGCTCTGGGTCCGAGCCAGCAGCGTCCCCGGCCTGTGTGTGTATGGCTCTGCTCCTCATTCTTCATATTCAACATCCCCCCTACAGCCTGTGGGGTTGATGAGTCCACAGGGTTCACAACCCATCTAGGAAAAGAAACAAGAACAAAATGACTTCATTTTTACAGATAGAAAATGGGGGGAAATGTCATTGTTTATTGGTTGATCGGGTATCCTGGTCGTCTTTCTAGAAGATAAGAAGGCTTTTCTTTGGTGATGGTCTCTGAAAGGTGATTCATTTATTCCATGAACATTTCTTGTGCAGCTTTCATGTTACCTGTACTATACAAGATGCAAAGTCTAAAACGTGAGCAGAGATACTCCTTGCTTTAAGAAACATCTGTGCTCAAAATATAGAGTCATAAAAAATGACTTACGTGCCAGGGTATATACCTTTTGCAAAAAGGTGATTCTCATTCTTTATGAATTCCTTACAGGATCCTTTAAAAATGCATTTATATAAATGATGTGTTTCTCTATTTCATTGACTGTGAGGTCTAATAGAACTACTCGGGAAAACCATCAATTGCACATATGTAGGTTTACCCATTATTAACCACAAGAAGCTTTACTCTTTGAAGCAGGATTTTTAGCCTTGATATCCAGGTAAACTTGGGAAACGCCACATATTATATCCTCTTTCTGACATTGGCAATGAACATCAGTGCAGGGCAACTTTAAAAAATACTTTAGAAAGAAACCTGTCTAACCAAGCATCTCTCATAATACTTAACCAAGAAAAGTGTTTTTGGGTTTTTTTTGGTTTTGGTTTTGGTTTTTTACTTTAACAGTAGTAGTTTTCTGTAAGTCTGGAGTTCTACAAAGCATATCTGGAAAAGGCTAAATTAAGAAATTGAATTTCTATGTTAAACTTTCTTGATACTCCCAAGGTAGAATGGAGACATATGGAGAATGTCATCAGAAAAGGAAGAGCTCACCTCTGTCAAGAGTCAGGGCAATGTTCGTTACAGAGAAAGCTTGATGTTGAAGCAAGAAAAGAATTCTTCCCTGAGAGTGAGGGGGAAGTATACTAAGGTTGAAAGAATGGCACAGGAGATATCCCCATGGAGATAGGGAAGGATAGGGTAGATTTGAGGAACCTATGGCCAGCCTAGTAGGGGGCCTCTGTGGTTAGTGCTGAGAAATTCATCTGGAAAGATAGGGAGGTATTGATGGGAATTGAGCTCTTGAAGGTTTCTGACCAGAGCAGCGACACGCAGTGTTTAAGGCAGCTTAGCTAACTACAGCAGTGAAAAAACATCCCACTACTGTGTAAATGGATAAAACCCCAGATTCTACAGTCAGCCCCGCGGTCCAGCCTCCAGCTGAAAAGCCTCTTGGCAGCCATTTGGCCTGTGGTTGGAGAGATGGCATCTAGAGGGGGGAGGTGAAGTAGCCACCCCAAATCTGAATTGTTGGGTGACCAAGAACAGATGGACCAAACCCTTCCTGGGGCCTGGGGATGGTGGCTGGCATGGGGGCAGCCCCCTCCTCTCCAGCCCCTCCCTATCCTCCCAGGAGAAAGTGGAACCATCCACATCACGCAGCAGTCTGGTCCAGCCCCTGGGGCCCAACCAGCCGTGCCCAGCAAGAGGCCGCTGTGAAACAGGCTTCGAGGCTGAAAGTAAAGTATCCATCTTCTGATACTTTCTCATGATTTTACCCCCTCACCCCCTCACCCCTGAGAAAATGCTTATATACGCTACTGCCGTCCTTCAGAATCCATTAGCTTCTTCCCATTAACTTTTGAAATGATTTTGACTGAAGGGTCCTCCCCGAGCTGCAGAGAGCTCTAAAACATCTAATAACTCTGAAGGCTAGCGGGGCTTCGGAGGTCCCTAAGTAAATAAAGAAAGAAGCCCGGGCCTTGGCAGCTGCAGAGACTCGCCTGCCTCGGGGAAGAGCCTGTGATGTTGAGGAAATGTCACAGCAGAGAGCAGGACACTGTGGCTGTTGATATGTATCCGGCTTTCTCGGTAGTTTCTGGGTAACTCAGGGCTGGCCCATTGTCTTCTCTGAGCTGCGTGCTGGCGCCGACTGGCCTGAGATGCCTTCCTCCCCTGCATGCGTGTAAATCCTGCTCTCTCTGCTCAGTGGCCCCAGTCCTGCAGGCCACCCTGGGGCACCCCTGTTGTGAAGGGGAGGGTGCCAGGGCTCAGCATGGAAACCCTCAGGAGGAGGCTCACACCCGGCCAGCCCCCTTGTCATTCCAGGCAAGACACTGCTGTGCATCTGGTCCCCCGGCAGTCGGATGATTGTTATTCTGCGGCTGTGGCCATTTTCAGTTTTCAATTATCTCAAGAGGAGCAGGGCAGCAATATTTATACACTGGCTTTCTGTTCAGAAAGGACCAGTAACCAAAATAATGAGAGGAGGATTCTCTCAGACGGCGTTTCTAGACCACCCCCCCCACCCCGTTTAATAACTGCTATGCAATTTGAAAACCTTTTTCTCTTGCACTTAATGTAATCATGGGAGAAGTGAGAAATAAAATGTATGTTCAAGAGCTTCTCCTCGGTTCTTGCCACCCAGCCACACTGCTCTGAGAACAGAGCCAGCTACAAGGCTCAGATTGACGAGACGGACTAGCTTTCAACTCAGGCCAGTTCCTATGCCCCGACCTTCACACATGACCAGAAATAAAATGTCTGTTATTGCCGGGACAAAAGAGATCATCAGCCAGTGAGAAAAAGGTACCTTAAATACAAAAGGAAAATAGCCCATGGCCCTTCCCGGCAGCCTCAGATCTGGGCTCCTGCTCACATGACAATGGAAGCTCCCCATCCAGAGGCCATCCCTCTGGTCTGTTGCCAGTCCCTGCGCCTGAAACAGGACCTAGCACCCAGGACGTGCTTGGGGAGTATTTATTGCCAAACTGGCCAACCCAGCTGGGAGGCCACCGTTTCCATTTCTTACTTGCTTCTTAACAAGTTACCACAAAATTAGCAGCATAAAACCAATACATTTATTATTTCACAGTCCTGGAAGTTTGCGTTCTTGGCTCAGGTTCTCACCAGGCCAAAATCAAGGCATCAGCAGGGCCGAGCTGCCTCTCTCTGGAGGCTCTGGGAGGAATGCACTCCAAGCTCGTCCAGATTATTGTCAGGATCCAGTGTGGTTGTAGGCTGCGGTTTGAGGTCCGTTTTTCCTTGCCTGCCTTTTTCCTTTCCTTTCCTTACCTTACCTCTCTGCTCCCAGAGGTGCCCACTTTCCTTCTCAAGTGGCCCCTTCGATCTTCAAAGCTGATGAGAGCCTGTCCTATTCTTCTCATGCTTCAACCAATCTGACTTTGCCTTCTGGCCCCAACAAGAGAAAACACCTGCTTTTTAAAGGTTCATGTGATTGGATTAGGCCCACAAGGATAATCTCTCCGTTTTTAGGGTCAACTGGTTAGAAGCCTTACTTCCATCTATAGAATCTCTTTTGCCACGTAACATACACAATCACAGCAATAACCCTGGGGGTCAAGAAGGGCATATAAGATTCTGCTCTCACTCCCCCAGTTGCCATTTTTATCCTCCTCTACACCCATCGTGAGCCCACACTTGTGTGTTCTTCTATTTTGAGTGGTTGAAGATAAAGTTCCGTTGTTCATCATGGTGGGAGTATACTCTGCTTGGTAGAAATAAACCCATCCCTGGGCATCCTGAATGCTTTCAAAGCCCCTCCTCCTTGCAGGGGAGCTTGAAGAAGGCCCCGGCATTTGGCTGAGTGGTTTACGATGTTTGCAGGGACCACTCCTGAGGGACCTGAAAACATACCACCGTCTTCCTCCTGTAGGTCCCAGTACTAATGTGACCATTCAGCGTAGAAAACCTTAGGGCCGGGGGCGCCTGGGTGGCTCAGTCGTTAAGCGTCTGCCTTCGGCTCAGGTCATGATCCCAGGGTCCTGGGATCGAGCCCCGCATCAGGCTCTCTGCTCGGTGGGAAGCCTGCTTCTCCCTCTCCCTCTCCCCCTACTTGTGTTCCCTCTCTCGCTGTCTCTCTCTCTGTCAAACAAATAAATAAAATCTTTAAAAAAAAAAGAAAACCTTAGGGCTGGATGCATTTGTCTGTCCCCGTGAGCTCAGATTCGTGAGCTTCTTGCTGGTCCATGTGAAGCATCCCAGCCATCAGAGCTCTGCTCCTTGAAGCTTACAGTGACTTGAGCGTCGCAAGTTGTTCTAGATGTCACGTATCAGATATCCGAGAAATCTGGGGGCCAGCCCAAGGATGTATCAAATCAAAATTTCCTATTTGTGTCTCTTCCTGCTGCAAATTCAGGGCCTGGCACAAAGCAGATAGATAATATGTACTAAATCACTGCGCATTAAATGTCCCTTACAAAGCTTACTCCATACATCACCAGGCAGTTCTAGCAGCTGCATCCCCACATTTTGGTTTTACGGGCATTTATCCCTTCATATAGTCCATGGATAGCTGAAGCATTAGGCATCAACCAAGTGTTTATACTTAGCATGTGAGCCCCTGCAGTGTGCTGGGATCGTTCACTGTGTACTGAGCGTAAGTCTGGTTTAACCCATCTGATGACCTCTTTCATCATGAGCAAGTGGTAGCCCTAGACCATGTAGTCTTGTAAGTCACTTCCGGCCATAAAAATGTGTTTTTGTAAATCTTATGTCTAAATGCATCGAAGAAATTCACTGTGAAAAGGAAGCCTGTAATCAAATACTCTGACCAAAAGGAACCTCTGTATTCATTTTCTATTACTGTATAACGAATGACCACAGACATTGGGCCTTACAACAGCATACCCTGATGGTCTCACAGTTTCCGTGGGTCTAGAGTGGGGACACAGCCCCGCTGGGCCCTCCACTCTGTTTCACAAGGCTGCAGTCAAGGTGTCAGCCAGGCTGCATTCTTTTCCAAAGCTCGAGGTCCTTTTCTGAGTTCATGTGGTTGTCGGCAGTAGTCAGTTGCTTACATTTGTAGGTTTGAGGTTCCATTTCTTGTTGGCTGCAGCCAGGGGCACTCTCAATCCCATGATACCCCCTGAAATTTCCCTCTGGTGGCCTTTCACAGGCTCTGTTACAACAGGGTAGCTTCCTTCTCCAAAGCCAGGTGGAGAACCTTCTCTCTAGTCTGCTGAGATGCAGTCTTACATAAATAATGTAGCCAGACCAAGGGAGTAACAATCTCTATATCTTTGCCATATTCTATTTTCTAGAAACAAGACACAGGTTCTAGGGGAGGGGACTGTACAAGAGAGTGACTCACTGGGGGCCAACTTAGGGTATGTCCATGATATTCACCATCCCCTAACGGCAAGAGAGTTGCAAGAATTTCCTAACGTCTGCATTTACTTAAAGACAAAGAACTTTGGTTAGTAGAATTAGAATCCCTTTTCTTCTTCCATTGTCTTCCTAGTCTGATCAAAACCCCTACGTCAAAATGGGCAAGTGATAAGTGGAGTCCCTGCTGTCCTAAATAAATCCACACACTTCATCTAAGTGATGGCTAGAAGATAGTCAGTGAATCCCACACTATTTAATGTAGGAACTGGAATCATCAAGAGTGAGAAGGAGGTGGAAGGAAGTCCAGAGGAACCAAGTAAAACAGAGAGGTTTTAAGAAAAGGAGACAGGCTGTGGAAACAGCGTCTTATGTTATTCCAAGGAAACACCTGCCTATAAAGCAGCAGTTCTCAGCCGGGGGCGTTTTTCCCTCTACAGGACATTTGGCAATCTTCAGAGACTCTTTTAGCTGTCTTGACTGTGGTGGGGGTGGAGAGTACTACTGACATCTTCTGGGTAGAGGCCAGGGATGGTGCGAAATATCCTACAACACACAGGACAACCCCTACAACAGAGAGTTACGCAGCCAAAAATGTCAGCAGTGCTGAGGTTGAGAAGCCTGGCCATAAGACGCCCCTTGGGGTACTTAATCAACATCCCTTTGCCTTCAGAAATAACACTAAAGTCCTTGCACCGCTCTCTGCGATCACCTTCTATGGGCAGGAGTGATGAATGATGGTGTTCCTTGCGTGTCAGGTGTCTCCATGCTCTGTGAAGAGCCAGGACATCACATTGTTCCCTGACCAATAGCAGCCATTGCCTTCGGGGGGCACGTTGGTAGCTCCCCACATCTGACCATCCCCCTGAGCGCTGGAGAAAGCGGTTGGCTGCTGTTAACAGAGAAAATAAAAGAACGTGAGATGATTCAGCCCCAAGTAGAGAGAGTGAGAGAGTGAATAAGGTAGGGGCAGTGACAGTCACTACCAATAGACACTAGTCTCAGAATTTCGGAGCAGTGGAGATTGACCCGCCGGCTAGCTGTCTTCTTTCAGCTAAGGTTAGAATGGGGGTGTTGATTAAAACCTCCCATGACTTAGCCATCTGTGATTTTATAATTCTGAGCAAACTTCTTGATCTATTTTGCTTTCCAGGTGGAGCCCAATACCAAAGTGTTTCCAGCAGTCTTCCTGCAGCCTACGAGCACTTCCTTGTTTCAGTTTGAACTTGGGAAGCTGAAGGTATTGATCTGTCCCCCTTATCCAATGGCTATGATAAAAGAAGGCAGGGTTGACCATTAGGGGAAAAATCCTAGGCCTCCAAAAACAAGGGAATCCCTTCTCATACACCATCTCACCGGTACTCCCCTCTGGCCCCTATACTTACCCATGAAATTCTTATGACAGAAGGTAGGTTCTCATTTCCCTTTCTCCCACTTCTAGTGGGTGCTGAAAGAATTAATTAACGCTAATGTAACCCATTATACAAGGTCTGAATTAGGCTGGTATAGCCTTAGAAGTCTCGGGATTCATTTGTCTCTCTGTAGTTTATACTAACCATATTGGTGATCACGGGCCGGGTCGCATTATCCAGCAACTGAGCACCTCTGTAGTGCACACGTTTCCCTCTTTCCGCCTTGCCCCAGAACGCGATGCCCCTGTCGGCAGCCATATTTAAGAGTGAAGAGAAGAACCCAGTTCCGCAGTGTCCACCTCGGCTGGACGTGCAGACCATCCAGCCTGTGCTCTGGAGCCGCATGCCCAGCAGCTTCCTGAAGGTGGAGACAGAGCGCGTGAGCGAGCGCCATGGCTGGGTGGTGCAGTGCCTGGAGCCCCTGCAGATGATGGCACTCCACATCCCGGAGGAGAACAGGTAGTGGAGGGGCCCCAGAGGATGGGGGCAGGCCTGGCAGGCAGCAAGGAAAGGGAAGGAGCCTCATTGGCCAAGGGCCCTGCTCAGTCCATTGACTCCCCAGAAACCTCAGTTTTTCTCTCCCTTCCTCACTTTCATTCTTCACTTGGAAATACAGCAGGATATTCAGTATGATATGCCTGCCACAAGCCTTCACCGTAGCTCCGAGTGCCTGCAGTCAGGAACATTTCCAACCGTTTAATTAAAAACTCCAATGTGACCCTGAAATAATGACAAGAATGGGGAAAATGAGGCATACCTAGCTTGCTTAGAGAATGAAGAATGGGCTCCTGGGCTCCTTCTGCTAAGAGGTACTCTTGGATTATGGCCTACATTCAATCTCAGCACTCTCACTTTCTGGGCTTGTGGCCTTGGGTAAATTACTTGCTTCCATTTCCTCATGATTCAGTAAAATACATGACCACCCAAAGGGCTGCTGGGAGAAACAAATGAAATTGTGTAGGTAAAATCTAGTAGAGTTTCTATATGTCATAAGAATTAAATAAATTTTATTGTTAACATATTATGACCCCTTGATCTGTTGGGCGAAAACAAAGTAACGAGGAGTAGAAGGATTTGCCACCTGAACAGCTGCCATTTAAGTATTTGACTGGGTCATGGACCGAGGCAAGACAGACTAGTGGAGGCAGGAACAGGAAAAGATAGGGGCCCAGCCAAGTAAGTCAATTGCGGAGGATCCTCACATCCATGATGGAAGAGCAAGACAAAACAGAAAACCTGAGCAGGGAGCAGAGACCGTGGGCCCCCACAGATGAGGGAGCAACACACTGACTTCCAAATAGGCTTCTAAAGTCAGGAAGGAGAAAGTGAATTGATTATGCCAACTGTACTCAGGTGGGAAAGTGTTTTCTCTTTGGACAAGAGCACAAGTGTGTTTGTTTTCAGGGGAAGGAAAGCCCCGTAGATGATGGTAGATTGGAGATGATACAGATGGTGTATGTGGCGGATGGACGGAGGGCTTCAACTTCATCTTCTGAGGAGCTCTTATATCAGAAACTGAAGTCCCCCTTATACCTACAGATAAGAGGACCAAGGCACCTCTATTACATACCTGAATGTTTTCAGTTTTTCAGTTGGGAGGTTTTCCTTAAGAAGGAAGACTTTCATATTTGGGAAACCAAGTCTTTAAGTCTTTTGGACTTTTGAGATTCTTATAGTTAGAGAAGGAGGATTATCAGGAACTGAGATGTGGACCAGAACTGAGAGAAGAATGATAATCTGTGAGGGAAAGGAGGGTAGAGGCTCCTCCATCCTTCTATCCCCTCTGCCTTCATTGAGTTGGGTGCAATCCCTGGGGATTCAAAGAGAAGCACTCCGCTGAACTCGGGCATATTCTTCTCCCCGTGGAGTGGTTGATTGCTTGTCCCCCGCAGGTGTGTGGACGTCCTGGAGCTCTGTGAGCAGGAGGACCTGATGCAGTTCCATTACCACACACTGCGACTCTACAGCGCCGTGTGCGCCTTGGGAAACAGCCGGGTGGCCTACGCCCTGTGCGGCCACGTCGACCTCTCCCAGCTCTTCTACGCCATCGACAACAAGTACCTCCCTGGCCTCCTCCGCTCTGGTTTCTATGACCTGCTCATCAGCATCCACCTGGCCAACGCTAAGGAGAGGAAGCTAATGATGAAGAATGAGTACATCATTCCCATCACCAGCACCACCAGGAATATCCGCCTGTACCCAGACGAGTCCAAGAGGCATGGGCTGCCGGGGGTGGGCCTGAGAACATGCCTCAAGCCAGGGTTCAGGTTCTCCACCCCTTGTTTTGTTGTGACCAGCGAGGAGCACCAGAAGCAGAGCCCTGAGATCCCCTTGGAGATTCTCAAGACAAAGGCGCTGAGCATGCTGACGGAAGCAGTGCAGCACAGCGGGGCTCATATCCGGGACCCCGTCGGCGGGTCTGTGGAGTTCCAGTTCGTGCCTGTGCTGAAACTCATCGGGACCCTGCTGGTCATGGGGGTGTTTGATGATGATGATGTCCGGCAGATCCTCCTCCTGATCGATCCCTCTGTGTTTGGGGAGCACAGTGCGGAGACAGAGGATGGAGCAGAGAAGGAGGAAGTGACCCAGGTGGAGGAGAAGGCAGTGGAGGCTGGGGAAAAGGCCGGCAAGGAGGCTCCAGTCAAAGGCTTGTTGCAGACCCGACTGCCAGAGTCCGTCAAACTGCAGGTAACTCAAGGGCAGCCAAGTCCCTGCCCTTGAAAAGAGCTGGGGAGGGTGAGAGTGCAGCCTGGAGGTAAGGCTGGGACTCAGGGCACCGGCCTAAACCTGGGGTGTAGCAGAGATGCCGAGAGAGAGCATTCGCTGGTCATGCTTGTTTCTGACACGAAGTGTACTCGCTAGGTCAAAAGAAAAATACTAACCCTTACCAATAAGGCATATGCTTTATTTTTAAGATTTATTTATTTATTTGAGTGAGAGAGTGCAAGTGAGCATGGGGGGGGGAGGGGCAGAGGAAGAGGGAGAGAGAAACCTAAGCAGACTCCACGCTAAGCGTGGAGCCTGACATGGGGCTCGATCCCAAAACCGTGAGATCACAACCGGAGCCAAAACCAAGATTCAGACACCCAACCAACTGTGCCACCCAGGCATCCCAAGGCATGAGTTTTAGAATTGTTTTTATGGAACTAGTGATGGATGGGCCCTGATCTTACCTCTTACTTTTGGGACTAAATGGCTCCTTGGTGAGATCTGTCTGGAGAGGAGGAGGAATCTTTGGCTGTGGAACAGACCAGAGGAACTGGCTCATGGGGTGGCCACGCTCACCACCTGCTCTCATCTGTTGCCATGTTCTGATCACCAAGCCTATGGAGACCTGTTGCACTGGCATTCAAATCAACGGCCCTCTGAGCTAAGAAAAAGAGTCTTGCTCACTTAGAGCTGCCCCCTTGTCATCACCCAGGAAACCTCAACATTTCCTAAGCATAGTCTTACCAGATGTAGGCTAGCATCGGTGATGCATTGAAGATGATCACTTTTGTCTTCTGGGCACTGAGAAAAGAGAGATGAAAGTGAACAGAGCAGAACAGTCTTTCCACAGAGTCAGCCTGACTGAGGCCACTTACTCTATACGCTTTCCAAGTCAGTAGCCTACCAAAGCCTTAGCATTACGATTTGTAAAATGTGGATGATAATAGAATAAAACATAATATTCAAATTTATCATTATAAAATGCAATATGGAATGTATTTTATCATAAAACATATTATAATAATCTCCAAATGATGCTCTCTTACCCAATGTGATGGGATTGGTAGGTGGTCAGATAGTCAAAACACTGCATATGGAGAAGAAGCATAACAAATTTTACATATATGCCTTCAACAATTTTATTAAAACATATAATGTGCTCTTCTAATGTGGAGCCAAGACCTTTTCTTTAATGTGAATCCCGGACTGGCATGTGGAGTCCTCCCTTTTGCATCATTGACACCTGTCATGCACAGTTTGATGTGCATAATGGCCAGTTGGGGGATCTTTAAAATAGACTGTGGATTTAGAGGTAATTGAAAAGCAACCTGAGCACAGAATACTTCTAGTATTCTAGAATCATTAAAATGATTTCCCCCCAATATTCTGTAGTTGTCTAACTCACACCCAACTTTTAGTATTTTTTTAAAAAAACAACTTGCCTTTGGGCACCTGAGTGGTGCAGTCAGTTAAGCATCCAACTCTTGGTTTCAGCTTAGGTCGTGATCTCAGGGTCATGAGATCGAGTCCCACATCGGGCTCCATGCTCAGCACAGAGTCTGCTTGAGTTTCTCTCCCTCTGCCCCTCCCTCCATGCGTGTGCATTCTCTCTCTCAAATAAATAAATAAATCTTAAAAAAACCTTGCCTTTTACAGATGTTCCCTAGTCATTCACCTTTGTTTTCCTATTTCATTGGTGCACATTCCTTCTAATTAAATGTTGTCACTCTCATCACAAGTGTGATGGACATGTGCTCTGGTGCTAGTTCACCTGGCTGAGGCAGAGCTGGGCAGGTGTGCCGGAGACTGTCCTGTTATGTAAGAGCACACCACCGTCAGGGGCTTTGCTGTCTGTGCCCAGACCGACTGGAGAGTGTCTGTTAGTCATGTGAAAGGTGAAGTGGAGATGGGTTCATAAATATTTTAATATTTATTATTTAATAATTAATATTTAATAATTTACTAACTTACTAAGTTATGGCTATTGTTCTTATTAATAAAAGTTCGAATAGTGATAAGATTAGTAATAGTTAACAGTCCAAAAGAACTAATGACAGAAAAACATGGTCAACAAACGAAAAGAAAGAAAGAGGGCACCTGGGTGGCTCAGTTGGTTAAGCGACTGCCTTCAGCTCAGGTCATGATCCTGGAGTCCCTGGATCGAGCCCCGCATCAGGCTCCCTACTTTGCCGGGAGCCTGCTTCTACCTCTCCCACTCCCCCCTGCTTGTGTTCCTTCTCTCGCTGTCTCTCTCTCTGTCAAATAAATAAATAAAATCTTTAGAAAGAGAGAGAGAGAGAGAGAGAGAAGGAAGGCAGGAAGGAAGGAAGGAAGGAAGGAAGGAAGGAAAGAAAGAAGGAAGAAAAAAAAAGAAAAGAAAGATGGAGAGGGGAACAGAAGTCTTTAGTTCCTGTCATCCAGAGCCAGAAGTTGTCAGGAAGGATCCAGAACTCACCTGTGCAATTCAGTGGTGGTTCCTACCTGGAGGTGAGAGCCATGGAGGAACTCTCTTAGGAATGCCGTTCTCCCTCGCCACAGGCAGATTTATTCTGTCTTTGGTGAGCTCATTTTCCTGTCGTTCTCCAGGCCTTAGGATAAAGAGCTGGTGTCTGGATTCAGGCTGACTTGGAATCCAGTGATGGCTCCATGGTTACTGTGTGAGCCTGGGCAAGTCGCTTAGAGCGCCTGAGGCTCAGTGTTACCCTCTGTAAAATGGGGATGCCAGCAGCTTAACCAATGTATGCAAAGTATTGTTAAATTAGCATAAATATTCGCTTGTGTTGCAGATGTGTGAGCTCCTCAGCCATCTCTGTGACTGCGAGCTGCAACATCGAGTGGAGGCCATTGTGGCATTTGGCGACATTTATGTCTCCAAACTCCAGGCAAATCAGAAGTCCCGCTACAATGAGCTCATGCAGGCCTTGAACATGTCCGCAGCCCTGACTGCCCGGAAGACCAGGGAGTTCCGCTCCCCGCCACAGGAGCAGGTAAGAAACTTCCTGAGCCTCCATGTCATTCCTATGGAAGAACTTGAACCTCACGGAACAGGGCACATGAAGCGTTTATATGCCTGGGGTGGCCATGAGAGCTGTGGGTGATTAAATGACCCAGCACAATGCCAGGGGACAGGCCTGGGCTTACGCTGATGGCAACGAGGAGCATTTGCCACTTAGATGGGGAAGAAAACCCATCCCAAACTGCACGTGGGCACGGCTTACTCCCCTCCCTTGCTCACTCGTCCCCATTACCTATCACTGAGTCAAAGACCACATCACTTTCATAGCAGCAAGGATCTGACGTTAGAAGAACGTCTGTCCAGAGCTGCCATCTTGCATCCCCGCATGTGTGCACCTAATCTCAGCTGGTCCGCCCGAGACCCCCTGAGCGCCAACCCTGTTCCCCCGCGCGGTCCCATTTCCGCTCCAACAAGATGAAAGAAACTATCACAAACCAGGAGAAACTCGCCAAACTGCAAGCACAAGTGTGCATTGGTGGGAAAGGAACTGCTCGCCGAAAGAAGGTGGTTCATAGAACGGCTACAGCAGATGATAAAAAACTTCAGTTCTCCTTAAAGAAGTTAGGGGTAAACAATATCTGTGGTATTGAAGAAGTGAATATGTTCACAAGCCAAGGAACAGTGATCCACTTTAACACCCCCAAGGTTCAGGCATCGCTGGCAGCGAAGACTTCCACCATTCCAGGCTACGCTGAGACAAAGCAGCTGACAGAAATGCCACCCAGTACCCCTTTTTTTTTTTAAAGATTTTCTTATTTATTTGAGAGAGACAGAGAGAGCACAGGCAGGTGGAAAGGCAGAGAGAGAGGAAGAAGCAGACTCCCCTCGGAGCAGGGAGCCCATGTGGGGCTCGACCCAGGACCTGGAGATCATCACCTGAGCTGAAGGCAGACGCCCAACCATCTGAGCCACCCAGGAGCCCCAGTGCTACCCAGTATCTTAAACCAACTTGGTGCAGACAATCTGACTAAGAAGACTGGCTGAAGCTCTGCCCAAACAGTTGTGGATGGAAAAGCACCACTTGCTACCGGAGAGGATGATGATGATGAAGTTCCAGATCTTGTGGAGAATTTTGATGAAGCTTCCAAGAATAAGCAAACTGAATTGAGTCAACTTCTGAAGAATATAAAACCTGAAGAAGTTACTGGGAGCTGCTATTTTATCTTATGACTGCTTTTTAAAATTTTGTTCGTGGATGTGATAAAATCTAGATCTCTAATATTTTGAAGCCCAAGCCCCTTGGACACTGCAGCTCTTTTCAGTTTTTGCTTATACACAATTCATTCTTTGCAGCTAATTAAGCTGAAGAAGCCTGGGAATAAAATTTGAAACAAGGTTAATAAAGTTCTTTGCCTAGGAAAAAAAAAAAAAAGAAGAAGACGAACGTCTGTCCAGTCCTTGCAGAAGTCACTGCTTTCTGTCAGAGATCAACAGAGCATGGTCAACACTTCCCGATTGATGAGAGTAGATGCACAGTCTTCTCGTCCCCTTGCCCCATGACCAAGACCCTCGTAAAGCCTCCCAGCCCCCGGAAGCTAGGAGAACAGGACTGGGCAAGTGAGGTCCCTTCTGTGAGGTATTGTCTTCATTCTTTGCAGTACCCCCACCTTGTGGTCAGTCTTGCCCAGGTGGGAGGGCTTGAAAGACTGAGGGTCCTCATGAGCAACTTGCAGAGGAGGGCGGGACAGCTGGTGGAATAGTACTTTGTTTTTGTCCCTCTGCTCAGCTGTTCACGTATATCCTGCAGGCTGCTTGGCCCCAGCTCCCTAAGTGCTCCACGCCAGAAGCTCTTTCAGTGAAGAAATTTGTTTTCAGTCTCTGAAACCAGATCTTTGGATCTTACCTATATTGAATAAGCAGCCTATCCATAAATTGTTGTCAGTATAATTACCACCATTTGGTATTAATGGTACAACTTGGTCTGATTACTTTCCTAACCTATTTTGTAGAACATAGATATTTATATCGGCTTAAAAATGAACTAAATCTCTTGGCTTTTAAAAGATGCCTTTGAGGGCGCCTGGGTGGCTCAGTCGTTAAGCGTCTCCCTTCGGCTCAGGTCATGATCCCGGGGTCCTGGGATCGAGTCCCACATCGGGCTCCTTGCTCAGCACAGAGCCTGCCTCTCCCTCTGCCTGCCTGCCACTCCCCCTGCTTATGCTCTCTCTCTCTCTCTCACTCTCTCTGTGTCAAATAAATAAATAAACTCTTTAAAAAAAAAAAAAAAGATGCCTTTGAATGATACCGGCCTTGAAAAGAGTAGGTGAAGCTTATCATCTCTTTGCTGGAGGCAAAATGAGAAAGCCCTTTCAATTGACAGGAGGAGGTAATTCGCACCATGCTGAGGGAAGTACAGCGAGCCTGAATTACTCTTGAAGGCTTCACAAATGTTGTCTGGCTGCCTTTAGACTGGCAACAGGTGTGTGTGAACGTTTCCCATTTTGTTGGGCAAACGCTGACTTGTTTTGGGAGTAATGGGATGGAAGCACGATGTGCCTGGCTCCTGTCCTAGGCCTCCCCCGTTGCTCGCTGTGTGGTCTTGGGCAATCGCCTTTCTACGTCTTAGGGTTTTCAGCTGTAAAATGAGGATGTCTGTATCTCCCTCCCTCCCTTCTTGTGAGGATCCCATGAGATAATGTGTTTAGATTACTGAGCAGGATACGTGACATACAGTACACATCATTACGTGCCATCATTAGCTTCCATGTGGGAGGTATTTGCATTTGCCTCATGTCATGTTCTCTGACCTTCTGCCAGCGACTCACTTCTGCCAGTGAGTAGAGTTTATGTTATGTCTGTTTTCTGAGGCATCTGCTCAACCCAGCTAGGATGCGTTGTCCATCTAAGACTGTCCTCATGGACCCAGCCTATGATCCTGGCTCCTGGAAGGGCCACGCTGGCTCCCACTTCTCCTTTACCCCTGCCTGCTGTGATTCTTGAGCGACCTCAGAATCACCAGAAAGTCCTAATAAAGCAGATTGCGGACCCCCCCACCCTGGGGCTCCTAAGTCAGTAGCTCTAGTGTGACGCCCAGGAATTTATACTTTGAGCAAGTTTCCAGGTGATACTGATGCTGCTGGTCTAGGAATGAAATTAAAGAAGGAACACTAATTGCTGTCAAATTCAGCTATCCCACCTACCACGCCTCTCCGTATTCGTTTCTAGGAAGAACCTACCAACAGAGCTCTCTAAATAATTCAGAATTGAATATCAACAAAGGAGAATTTAGATCAATTTCAGGGGATAGCACTGCAAAATCACTTGGAAGATTGGATGCATAAGAATTAGAATTTTAAAACAGTGATATGAGTCTCTCATCTTTCTGTAACCTTTGAGGAGAAAATAAAGGTTTTCAGCCTTATATCTATGTAGTATAAAGAGATGAGAAAAACATACTTGGTGGATGTTACCAAGTACAAAAGGAGGCAAAACTAAGATCAGTCCAACGGTTGTTGGCAAATTAGCCAGGCATAGTCAGTAAGCCTTTGACTTTAAAAAGGGCATCATTAAAGGGTATGCCCTGTGGAGGAGAAAATTCAGCTCACTCCCCATTTGGTTTTCTGCCCTGCAGGCTGGTGGGCTCCTGCTTCCCAAGTGTTCTACCTAAGGAATGATCTTTCAGCAAAGAAATTATTTTTGACTCTCAAGCTAGATCTTCAAATTTTCTTTTTATTTAATAAACAACTTATCAATATATGTTGATATAATTACCAGGTCTAACATTGTAGAACAACCACAAAAATTACTTTTCTAACCTGTTTTATGTATTATTTTATTACAAACAGTACTTCCATCTACTTCCAAAAAATTGTTTGCAGTAGTAGCTTTAAATAAGGATCTTCCTAACAACATTAAATATGGTTTTTCATGGTTTAATAAAAGAGATTATAAAGTTTTTTAACCTAAAAATCCTAAACAGAAGGAGAAAATACCTTTGCCTGGTGTGTGGGTTACCCTGGGGTCGTGGGTCTTTGGGAAGAATTGAGACATTCCCAAATCTGAGCAGGAAATGAATGACTTCATTTTCACCAACTTGTCATTAATCTCTGATAGCATTTCTTTAATTATTGATGTAGGCAGCAAAGCAAATACGTGACTTTTCCAGCAACAGAAATTGCCTGGTTTTTTTTTCCATGTTGTATTACAGTGGTTGTCATACATTGAAATATCATTTACATTCATCACTACTTCAAGATCACTGTGGATATGAGACCCACCACCAGATCTTTTTGTCTAATGAGTTAATAAACAAGTACATATATTCCTATATCACAGATTTCTTTTTTTATGGTCTTGATAACTAGATTTCAGTATAATTGTTTCTCTGTAATTTTCTATATTTTATGGTATGTATTCAAAATATTTGAGAAGTAAACAGGGGGTTTCAACAGACTGTCAGAATCATCCATGATATAAAAACAGTTAAGAATCCCTGAGACAAAACTATAAAGGAAAAGGTGATAGTTTAACTACATGTTAAAACCTACATGTCAATAAAAAAATCCTGTAAAGTTAAAAGCTCACTAAAATCCAGGAAATATATTTGGAGTATATATTATGAAGAGTTAATAGTCTAGGGATGTGCAAAATACAGATTAATTTTTAAAAAGAAAATTTCTCAACAGAAAAATGGAGGAAGAACATAAACAGGAAATTTATAAAATATGAAATAGGGGCACCTGGGTGGCTCGGTTGGTTAGGTGTCCAACTCTTGATCTCAGCCCAGGTCATGATCTCAGGGTCATGAGTTCAAGCCCTTTGTAGGGCTCCACACAGGGCATAGAGCCTTCTTTAAAAAAAAAAAAGAAAGAAAGAAAAATGGTCCTTAAGTATGGAAAAACAAAATTCAACCTCACCAATTAAATGCAAATTAAAGCAACAGGGATATGATATTTTTCACACATTAAATTGGAAAATATTTGAAAATGTGTTAATTCTCATTACCGTAATGGAGATGGCAAAGTAATACACACTCTTGTATAAAGTTGGTAATAATGCAAATTGTTGTGAGCTTTCTGGAGGGTGATTTGGCAATTCATATCAAAAGCCATTAAAATACGCAGATCTTTTGATCCAGTCGTTTCGTTTCTAGGAGTTTATCCTAAGAAAAATGATCAGAAATGTGAACAAAAATTATGTAAAAGGAAATGCAAACTTTATAAGGACAAAGAAATGGAAACAATTTAAATATATCTTAACAAATCAAAATTTTATGTACATTTTACATTAGTTGCTATTCATCCATATGATGAAATACAGTGTACCTATTAAAAATCAGTAAGGGGCGCCTGGGTGGCTCAGTCGGTTAAACGTCTGCCTTCGGCTCGGGTCCCGCATCGGGCTCCCTGCTCAGCAGAAGGCCTGCTTCTCCCTCTGCCACTCGCCCTGCTTGTGTTCCCTCTCTTCCTGTGTCTCTCTCTGTCAAATAAATAAATAAAATCTTTAAAAAAAAAAAAAAGTAAAATAAGAAAAGGCTCAAGATAAATTGTTAAGTGGAAAATCAGACTTCAAATATGTTTAAAGTGTGATCTCAATCTGCACACGTAAAGACCGGGAGCTACTAGCTAAATATGGTTTTCTTTGGTCAGTGGGATCGCAGTAAATTTTCTTTAGGTGTTTCCAAATTTTGCGCAATTAATAAATTACCATTATAATCAGAAAAAAAGTGAAAGCTACTTTTAAACGTTGACCATCTTTTTTTTTTAAGATTTTATTTATTTGAGGGAGGGAGAGAGCACATGTACACACAAGTAGGAGGAGAGGCAGAGGGACAAGCAGACTCCCCGTGGAGCAGGGAGCCCTATGTGGGGCTCGATCCCAGGACCCTGAGATCATGACCTGAGCCGAAGGCAGATGCTTAACTGACTGAGCCATCCAGGTACACCTATTGGCCATCTTTATAAATGAATTTGAGTTGGACAAAATTGGCAAAGAATGTTAGGTATTTAAGGCAGGATCTGAGTTCTTTTTACCAACACTGGAACCAACCACCTATTCTTCTTTGTCCCTCAAAGATCAACATGCTTCTTAACTTTCAACTGGGAGAGAATTGCCCCTGCCCAGAGGAGATACGGGAGGAGCTCTATGACTTCCATGAGGACCTTCTCATTCACTGTGGTGAGCTTCTGAGGCAAAAGCTATATCAAAGACAAGTCTGTTCCTGATTCATCCATTAGAAGCTAGTGGGGTTGGGAAGAAAGTTTTCTATTTAAAGGTGCAGTTAACCCTTGAACAACATGGGTTGGAACTACACGGGTCTGCGTATGATGCGGAATTTTGTCTCCATAAACAGAGGACGGTACTGCATGTGTATTTTCCCTTAATAACATTTTCTTTTCTCTAGCTCACTTTATTATAAGAATACAGTACATAATGCATATAACATTTAAAAATATGTGTTAGTTGACTGTTTATTATTGTCAGGAAGGCTTCCCATCAAGAAGTATGCTATGTATAGTTAAGTTTTGGAGGGTCGGAGTTATGTGTGGATTTTCCACTGTGCAGATGAGCGGCACCACTAACCCCTGCATTGTTCAAAGGTTAACAGTACAATAGTAATCGCTCAAGAAATGATTCTGCCCAAACTACTTGGGTCAGAGAAGCTATAGGAAATAATTCTGGCATAACATATGACAGAAACTTCTACCAAGAAGAAATTTTGTGAGCTAGAAGAGAGTGAACAGGGTTTCTGAAGAAAAAAACAAAACAAAACCCAATACATAAACCTCTCCCACTTTACTTAGTTGGACTCTGCTCCCAGCTAACCCAAGATTCCAATCCCCTTTGCTTCTTAGCTTTTGCCATGAGAGAATGGTAACTTCTGCCCTGAAGAATTCTAAGCCAGCAGTGCCTACTTTGATACATAGCTGCTGATTTTAAAGGGTTCTCAGCATTTGTGCTGCTTCTGCATGGGTGGATTGACTAATATATAAATAATAGATGGTCTTTTCATTTGAACTGACTCAATGTTAACTTTTTCTTTCTAGATACTCGAGAGCCCTTTTGGAGTTTAGGTTAGAAAAAGTTAAGTGTGGGGTTTGAAATTACTTGATGTTCTTGTACACAAGAGATCATCTTTTTAAAACTTGTCAAAAGACCTCATAGAGGTAAATATTTATGGGGAGCTGCCTATGGTATCTTTAGAAGGTTCCAGAAGGGTGGGAAGCAGAGACCTTATGTTCTTTCAATCATATGGTGGTTTCATGTACTGTTTGAGGTTTTCACTCTGTTCTGTGCCTTGCTAGGGGTTCCCCTGGAGGAGGAGGAAGAGGTGGAGGAGGACACCTCCTGGACTGGGAAGCTCCGTGCCTTGGTGTATAAAATCAAAGGCCCTCCCAAGCCTGAGAAGGAACAGCCAACAGAAGAGGAAGAGAGATCCCCTAGTGAGTGACCATGCCTTTCAATCACAGTCCTCCTGACACGGTGCTCTTCTATGACATAATGACGGGAACTGGCTTTCTGACAGATACTGTGAGATGGACTGCCTAGGCGTCAAAGGATGCATCTGGGCATTCTTTTATAATTGGTGGTGGCTATTGTGTGTTTGGGGCTATGCTGCTCTTCCAACTTAAGGAGCTTACTTTCAGAGTCTTCTGAAACCTGAGGGATCTATTATTTTGGGTCTGCTCTTGTCTGTCTAGTTAAAAACACCTGTAAATAGGTTTCTGTTCTTCTTGGAGGTTTCAGTTGTCCTCCTCCTTTAGACATTGTTGTTTCTGTCACCTCTGCTTCTGGTTCCTTGGCATTGCAAATTGCCTCCGTGAGAAAATTAAATAATGATACAAAGGGAGTAAAAGAAATGGATGTGGGCTTTGATGGGGGTCATTTTGGGGTTTTGGCTACGATTTTCATAACGTAGCATCCTAGAGGACTTTGACCTTCAATTTTTCAACAACAACAAACCTTGTCCAAGTTCATTTCTCTAAGCCTTATGGTAGACATGACTCCTACCGTTGTGACTCATTGGAACAAGATCATAATTTGTTCTATTAGGGCAGTTTACTGTCTATAAACCATTAACATTTCAAGAAGAAAATTGTGTATTATACATAATTAGGATGCTCTTTAGTACCAAATTCTGCAAATATTTCATTTGTCTAAAGAAGGAACTTCCGAGGTTTGACAAAGTTGCCTTTTATCTTGTTCCTATTCCTATCCATTTTGGAGCATGCTTTCAAATCATAGGCTAGAGCAAGAGCCTGCCAAGCTGTGATTGGTTTGTCTTAAAACACTACTTTGGGGTCCGTATATCTTACTGCCCTTTATATTGACCTCCCATCTTTGCCACATGTCTCTGAAGGGAAGGAAGCCTCACCATTTTTCAGCACAAGCGTTGAAGCCTCTGGAAAAGTGAGTGGGGTACATACACTGGCAAACCTTGATCAGTGCTGTCACCATGGAAAGGGTAGGTCTTTGATGAGGATGTGCCAGCAGGATTCTAAGGGCACAAAAGTGAGCTTAGATCCCCTTTGTGGTTCCTGCCAAAGCAGAACTAAAAATAGACTGAGCTGACCCATATTACCTGCTGAGAGTCTATTTTGAAAGTGGATGCTTCTTTCTAACCTATAATGTGTCACAACTGGGGGTCCCACAAGGTGACCATTTCATGGTAGGTAAATGGAGTCAGATGAAATCACTTGGCTGTGTGAAGTCCCCCTAACTCTAAGAATGGTGTTCCAGAGATTGCAATCTTCAGCACTGCTACCTTGGGCCTCGGGCAGAAAGACCATGTTCTGTCTGTTGTGGTGGACCATTATGTAAATAAGGCCACTCCAGTGTGAGACTCCATGTCTTCACCTCATGCTGCTTCCCTTCCAGAAGGAGAATTGTGAGAGGTTCAAGCTTTGTGTTGTCAGTCTCCTATCCTGGATTTCCAGAGGTGGTCAAGCATGTCTGGTTGTCAGTAGACAGGTTCCCTGGCCAAATGTTCGAGAGACAGAAAGCCCCTCACTCAGGGCTGACATATGAAGAGAAAATCTTGGGAATAGTTTAACTGCCACACCCCCAAAATTGTTTTTAACGAATAGATGGAGACAGTGTTTCTGAATACATAGCCAGTTGTGATAAGAGGGTCAAAATACTTTAGAATATTAATAAGTTTCTTTTTCTTCCCTTATGTTTGATAAACTATTAAAAATGCAGATAATGACATGGGATAGTGAATTGACAATTCACCAAATACTTAACATGTATCAGTTTACTACTGGTGGGTTTTTTCACTCCTGTATTGTATAGTTGATGAAAATAGTACTCTGAAGAATTAAGGGATACTTGTTCATTTATTCTCTTCACCACTGCCTAGTTCCAGAACAATTTCCAGGTGACTGGATGTCACCAGCCCAAGGTAACCGAGATGAGTAAAGCTGTGACTTGCTTCACATTTTCTGACTCTGGTTCCATGCTCTTTCCATTGTCCCGTAAAACCCCCAAATATAGCTATTACATACAGAATAGCTTTTTATTTTTTTTTTATTATGTTACGTTAGTCACCATACATTACATCATTAGTCTTTGATGTAGTGTTCCATGATTCATTGTTTTCATATAACACCCAGTGCTCCATGCAGTACGTGCCCTCCTTAATACCCATCACCAGGCTAACCCACCCCCCACCCCCTCTCCTCTAGAACCCTCAGTTTGTTTCTCAGAGTCTGTAGTCTCTCATGGTTCATCTCCCCCTCTGAATTCCCCCCCCTTCATTTTTCCCTTCCTACTATCTTCTTCTTTTTTTATAACATATAATGTATTATTTGTTTCAGAGGTACATGTCTGTTTAAAACCATCATCTTTTTATCTGGCTTACTACACCTGCCAGGTGACTCACAACTATGACTCACTGTTACATGTAGGAAATCTAAACCCAACAGAAGTCAAAATTCTAACATGCCAAAGTTGACCAAGCCAAAGATCTGCGCTCGGTGGGGTTTTCAGGGAAGGGGGTGCAGTCTCTCCTCTATGAGCAGTGGGTGTTGGCCAGATGACCTGCCGGAAAACTTCAGCTTTTCTAGCCAAGAGGAATCAACAGTGTCCTGACCCTCATGAGAATCCTGCTAGCTGGCTCAGAGTTAACGGCGATCTGCCTAAACTAACTCTAAGCCATATTGTCGATGAAAGCTGTTACAATCTTATCAAAACATATGATAATGAAGAGGTAAAAAAGATCCAACAATAGTAGACCGCCACACTAAGTCACATTTCTTTGGCATATCCCAATCCAGCAAATTCCCGAGAAAATCTTTTGCCTGTTAGTTCTAAGCCAGGGCTTCTCACACGCTACAGTTGAAGTAGGGTTTCCTTGAATATAAATCTGTTGCCACTGAGTTACTCCTCCAGAAGAGACCAACCAGCTATTTCCGCTAAATTCTGAAATTAACCAAATGAAGACCCCCTGTCACTTTACAGCTCAAAGTTGGTGCATTCCTGATCTCTGTCATTCCCTGAATGCTCTCCCCAGGGAGGTTTTTCCTGCCACTTGTGTCTGCTCTTGCCCCATCACTGAGTGGCCTACGAGCTCTAACTGAAATTCTCTCCTGCCTAAATGTTTCAGCCTGTTGAGTGCTGAGGAGGAGAAGAGTCTACTGTTTGCTCCGAAAATAAGTCTGGAGCCCAGCACAAATACTTACACACATAATGAGACAATTCGGTGATAGGTCCATCTATGGCACTCAGGCAATATTTGTAAGCCTGGTCCCAGTCTCCCCAAACAGCCTCTCCCCCTGATGCACGTGCACAGACACCTCCTCCATGAAGTCTTTCTTTCAGCCTCATCCTCCGTCCTTCTGCCCCCACCATTTCATGGCATTTCTAAAAGGGCATGTATGACCTTCCACCTTCCGTGGAGTATCTGTGTCCCCATCTGTTTTCTTTACTGGGTCTTTGTGCTCAGACCGTATCTTCCCTGTTTCTACATTTAACTCATTGCCACAAATCTGTCCGACCTCCAGTGTAGGTTAGTCATGGGAGGCTCATGAAGATGAAGAAAATGAGGACCTTATAAACAACAGAGGAAACAGCTGTGGACAGGAAACTCAATATAATCATGAGTTTGGATATGCTATAATAAAAGTGTAGGTAAAATACAGCAGGTGGCCAGAGAGGAGGAGTTGGGCAGATTCCATAAAGAACATAGATAAGTAGATAAAATAAGAAGGGAAAGACAGGGACGCCTGGGTGGCTCAGTTGGTTAAGCGTCTGCCTTTGGCTCAGGGCATGATCCCAGGGTCTTGGGATGGAGTCCCGCATAGGGCTCTCTGCTCAGCAGGGAGCCTGCTTCTCCCTCTCCTTGTCACTCCCCCTCCTTGTGCTCTCTCTCTCTCTCTCTTGCTCTCTGACAAATAAATAAATTCTTTTAAATAAAGGGGGGAGATATTTTTTGATGAGAAGAGCTGCTTTGACAAAGCCCCAGAGCAGAAAATTTCATGTCATATGCCAGGAGGCAACCAAGTGAGATTGGTTGAATTCTCAGAGGAATGGAATGGGGTAGAGGGGAGAGGTAGGGTGGTATTAGGACAGAGTGGCTTGGAAATCCAATTGTTAAACTACATTCAGCCTTAGAGTGTGACATATTAGTCATCACCATGTATTTATACTACCTGGCCTTACGTTGCAGGGAGGGGGTGGTTAACATTTACGTGGTAACCGCTGAGTCCTGAGCACTGTGTTAAGCACTTCTGTATTACCTCATGTAATTCTCAAAATATGCAGTAGATGAAGTGGGTGATTTTATTCCTATTTGATAGTTGAAGAAACTGAAGTAAAGACAGATTAAGTAACTTGGCAGGATCACACAGTGGTGTCATGAAAGTTCAAACCTTTGTCCACCTGAGTCTAGTTGCCATCCCTTATCTTGCCCTCCCCCTGCCCCCCGCCAAGCAGTGGCTATGAAAGGTCTTTGAGACCAAATTATCCATTTACTCAACAATAGTGAGGTAGTTATGAGCATAGGGGCTCTAGACTTCGGCCACCTGGTCTTAAATTCTTGCTCTGCTACCTAATATCTGTGAGATTAAGCAGGTGACAACTTCTCTGTGCCTCAGTTTTCTCATCTGTAAAAACATGGGCCTAGCCCTAATACCCTATTTGGTTGACATGAGGAATAAATTAGTTAAAAATTCAAAGTGCTTATAAGTGTGCCTGGCACAGAGTATGCACTTAATTTTAACTATTTTGGGCTATTAAAATGTTTGTTAATCACCCACCATATCTCAGGCACTGTTTTAGGCACCAGTCAACTCTGCTTTAGCAAGATGGCAATCCAGAGGATCGCCGTGCAGGATTATTGGAGGTATGGAGGCCCACCGGATGTCACTGCAGTGCTCTAGATGAGAGCTTCTGAGGACTCATATAAGTATGGTGTAGCAGGCAGGATAATGGCCCCAAGGAT